TTATGTTTCTAGGTGTTTTGAGAATCTTTCTCTTCTTTTCTCTTCTACACTTGAAAAAGAAACTAGTTTATGCCTTGTTATATAGTCCACATGATGCTTTTTAATGAGAGAACTATTATGAACTGAATGGGCGACATAGAACATTGGCGTACCAGCTTTTATACTCCAAACACCCTTTGAAGGCTGCGAAATCGGCCTGCACAAATAATTGAATTGTGGATTCATCTAATGCTGCAGAAGAGTAATAACCGGGAATATGTTTGACAGATGGCCATTTTTCCGAACGACAGTTTACTTTTACTACGTTCTCCAGCTAAGGCCCTCTATAGCTTGCTAGAGTGGGTTTATTCCTTTTATTAGATCTGGAGGCACTAGCCCGCTTGAAGACTAACCCCACGGTTGAGTATTATGGATAATGGCGTTCGATTACAAACCGTTAGTCACTGAGTGACTCTCCAGGGTTCAAGAAAGAAAAAATCATGCAGAACACCCTAAGCAAGGACCTCGCAGCCTAGACGAGTTTCAGGGACCTTCGCGTTTCCATGCCAGCGAAGGGATATCCTGCTGTCCATGGCTTTCTATCGTTTCTTTCGTCATCTTACTGCTAATACCATCTGACAGTGAAAAAACAAAAAAATCACGATGTAAAAAATGAGCAGGAAAATAAATAGAAAATAGCCTTCGAGCTCCGGTGCGCTGGATAATAAGGGAGGCGTCAAATCGCCCCTTATGAGGGTCGCAGCGCTTTCTTGAGTTACTGTGAAGCCGCGGAAGTGGGATAATGCTGGAGACGACCAGACTACTTGAACAAGTATGGACACCCTGCTCACTGGTTGAGGGCGGAGACTCCCCAAGTCTAGACAAGCTTTCACATCTTCGCTCACAATCCTTTGAAGACTTTGCCGAATTGGTGGATTTGCGCCGTTATTTTTCGCTTTTTATATGTACCTAATGACGGGATCCATATAGGTCAGAACTTATAACCTGTGAATGGTCTGTTGTTGTTTGGACAACTGTTTGGAAAAAAAATTGTTTGGAAAACCTTATAAACAATAAACGCTTCCAAGGTTTCAAGGGTCCGTCCTTATGTGTGAATAATGTCAATAAAGCAAAAAGATTTCCGGTTCAATAATTGCTGTTTAACGTCGCAGTGTGCGCTCCGAAAGTTATCACAAGAATGCTGAGTTATGGGCAAAAGTCAGACCTCGGACGGAACTCTAAACCGCACCTAACGCTTACTGGATGGTTGCGTTATCTATTATGCTACCGGGGCCGCTAGTACCCTATCAGTATGTCTGCTGGAAGGCTGGCCCAAAAAGTCATAAAGCTGAGAGGATAATGGCGGCCCTTATAGCGTAATGGACAACGCAACCTCCCGGTAAGCGAGAGATGCGGGCTGGAGTCCCGTCCGAGGTCTGACTTTTGCCCATAACTCAACACTCTTGTGATAAAGAGATTGCCATTCTCTACCGTATATCTCAAATATTTTTCAGAGCCCCCATATGCTGAATTATCGTAATGCGGCCAAATTTCACTCCAATTCGTGTGTTTTAGCTCGTCTTTTTTCGGAAACACTCTGTAGCGGAACTCTCGATTTCAGTGTTAAAGCTATTCATTACAGAGCAAAATTCGGCGTTTTGTTGTCGCCTGAGCACCGCGAACGTTTCAAACATATTTGTAGAGACAATGCAAGCTGATCTTTCTCGAAGTTCTGTCGAAATTCCAATCCACCACTATGTCCTAAAACGGTTAGTTGGACAATTAAGCAGTATTTTAACAAGCCTGCAACTACAGGTTTTTTCCGTTCTTGGTCCAGAATTCCTTCATTTCTCGATCTGGGTTTCAGAAAACTCGAATTGGAATGACTATCAACGATTTGCGCAAGAAAACGTCAGATGAAAAGCTGGCGAAGAAAGCAAAAAATCTCATCAAAGAGTGGAAAAATTTAGTGGACAAACGCGAAGACAAGAAAAGAAAAGGTTACATTTGCAAATTACTTAACAGCAGATTTCATTTTCCTGCAACAGTTTTACAAAGTTTTCTAATTTTCAACATCATTATTCAAGGCACCTAAAAACGAGCCATCGTCATCGAGCTCAACTAAAAACAATGGCACAGTTTCGAACCAACAAGCTTCGAGAGTTACCCCACCTGCGTCTCAATCACCTGCTCCAGTCCCAAGCCAATATCATTCGTCCAATTTTCCTCCTAAGCATTTGGAGAATGACGAGGTGGTCCCTTTCGGTTTTTTGCATTTTTAATGTTATTGCAATAAATCCTGTGCCGAGCAAATAAAACTAGAGTGCAGTGATAACAGGATCTCCCTCATGTATGCATCCACTGGATGGTTTGAAACGCCATGCGCACGCAGTGACTTGCCCCGCAGCTTGTGATGATACGAACATGTGTATTACATGCCGAAGTCGAGCTATAGAGAATAGCAGCGCCCATCAAATGTGGAAAAGTAATAGCGCACTCTATGGATGAGATTGTAGCTGGCCGTGTGGCGTATTACATGTCTATAACCTGCTCGTCGTATCGAATGGTGAGCGGAGACATAAGGGACTTTCAGCTATTACAGCTCTTCGTTGTAGGTGATCGTGCTGCATAGATTCAGTGATTTCTTCATGGGACTCACTGAATGTGCCCTATAGACAAACCACATCAAAACGAAACACCTAGCAGTGTGCCGCTGGTGTAAAATCACCTGTATTTGCTTTTAGTCCCACTAAGAATTAGGTCCGCCTTCAGTGCTTATATATTGATAGCCTCTTCGATTCAATATTCTAAATTTTCCGGGTCCCTCTTTTACTGAATGCCACCTAAATCCCTCTTTATGCATCTAAAACATTCGGTGATGAGTTGGCAAGTGGCACGCTTGACCCACGCGCGCGTCCGAGGATGGCTGTCACTCAAGCCAAGCGAGCTTTCTACCTCTCAGGACGGAAATCGGTACCTATTCGTCTGGGAGGATAAAACACTGACTTGTACATCGGCTGGCCCCGCAAGTCATTGCATAGACCACATCGCATTCGATAGGCCACTACGACTCTGAATGGAAGTAGAGATGCGTTGCCGTGGAAGGATTGATCAACGGCGAAGACTTCAGGCTTCAGAGTATCTTCGACATGTGAGGAAAGCATGGCTTTGTTGAATTCGTTAGGTGTGTTCTCTGTGATATTTCATTGAAGAGAACTGTCATCCTCTCTTCCGTGGGGCGAAGACCTGGCTAGAGTTGTCTCAAAACAGCAAAGTATAATCAGAAGCACGATCGTCGCCATGTTAGAAGTAA